ATGTCATTTACGATTTCATACAAGTAATTTAAGATTTTCATTATCCCCGGAAGATACGTCATTTTGGCAAAAACTGTACTTTTAGCCTTCAAAACAGATATTTTATTCAAATGAACCTGATTTGTAATGTTTTTAAAATTATGATATTTGATTCCAATCAACAAATAGAATGAACTCATACGATCATACAGATACCACAAAATGGTTTCTAACTTGTACGGTTGCAGAGAAATAGACGATTTTCTACAAGTCATTTTTCAAGGTTTTTGGTCTATAAAGGTGGCAATTATTATTCGATTTACATAAAATTTTACCATGTGATTTTACCAAGTCACTTTTCAACGTTTTTGGTTTATAAAGGTGGCAATTATTATTCGATTTACATAAAATTTTACCTTGTGATGATGCTATATCTGATTTCATGAACCAATTTAACATTTTCATTATCACCGGAAGCAATGTAATTTTGTCAGGATCACTGACATGTAACAAATGTATAAAATGAATTGATTGCTGGATTTGGTTGATTCTGCGTCCATTTTATTTCATGTGTGCAATGCTTATGTGGAAACCTGTTTAACGGTTTCATTGGTACCGTGGCACCGGTGAAACCCGTCATTACTGCGTCGCAGTTCTAGTCTTCTTTATTATTATTCCAATTCGATTAGATCTCAGCAACTGCTTGTCGGATTGTTACGATTTCTTCGGTTTTACTGGGAAAGTGGGTGTGACTTAGAGGATAAAGATATTTTGAACGTTCTGCGACAATGCGAAATGTCCGAAATCACCGAAGTTATCGTATTTAGAAATATGCTCCGTTGTCTCAATTGCCATTTTTTTTGTTACCGATAGAGTTATCTGTCGGCACCGGAAGTGGCGTAATTTTACCAAAAACTACAATTTTGACAACTAGGTACCATTTTTCGAAAGCAAATTATTTTTTTCAAATCTGGTATAACTGAAAGGGTGCGCCCTTTAAAGGCGCACAAAATGTCGGGCCCAGTTTTTTTTTTATTTCGATTCCGTTTTCGGGCTTTTTCGATTAAAAGGTGAAAAGAGGTGTAAAATTAAGCTATTTACAACCCATCCAGCGTTTTCATATTTTAAAATATTACTTCGTAACTTTCATAAACTCTTAGCAATAATCTATACGGAGAGAATGTATGTGAAAATTAATTTGTAATACGCGCAGTTGCCGAGAAATGGGCAATTTTGCATGGGTCACTTTTTACGCTAGTTTTCCTGTAAAAGAGTCAATTATTATTCGTTTTTCATAAAAGTGACACCATTTGATGTGTAAAGTCAATTTTATCTAGGTCAAACCAATTGAATATTTCCAATATCACCGGAAATGACGTAATTTGGGCAAAAATTGTATTTATAGCCTTCGAAACCAGTAATTTATTCAAATTAGTCGTATTTGTTATTTGTTTAAAATTTTGATATTTGATTCAAATCAACTAATAGAATGAACCCATACGATCATATAGATATCACAAAATGTTCAGTTGCGGAGAAATAGGCAATTTTCAACAGGTCACTTTTCAAGGTTTTTTGTCCATAAAAGTGTCAATTATTATTCGATTTTCATGAAATTTTCACTGTGTGATACCTAATGTCATTTACGATTTCATACAAGTAATTTAAGATTTTCATTATCCCCGGAAGATACGTCATTTTGGCAAAAACTGTACTTTTAGCCTTCAAAACAGATATTTTATTCAAATGAACCTGATTTGTAATGTTATTAAAATTATGATATTTGATTCCAATCAACAAATAGAATGAACTCATACGATCATACAGATACCACAAAATGGTTTCTAACTTGTACGGTTGCAGAGAAATAGACGATTTTCTACAAGTCACTTTTCAAGGTTTTTGGTCTATAAAGGTGGCAATTATTATTCGATTTACATAAAATTTTACCATGTGATTTTACCAAGTCACTTTTCAACGTTTTTGGTTTATAAAGGTGGCAATTATTATTCGATTTACATAAAATTTTACCATGTGATGATTCTATATCTGATTTCATAAACCAATTTAACATTTTCATTATCACCGGAAGCAATGTAATTTTGCCAGGATCACTGACATGTAACAAATGTATAAAATGAATTGATTGCTGGATTTGGTTGATTCTGCGTCCGTTTTATTTCATGTGTGCAATGCTTACGTGGAAACCTGTTTAACGGTTTCATTGGTACCGTGGCACCGGTGAAACCCGTCATTACTGCTTTGTAGTTCTAGTTAATCAATTACTTTCACAGTAATATTTTAGCCTATTATTTATCATAGTCTCAGGACGTAGAGGCCAAGCTTATCGGTCTGTAAGAACCGGTTTCATTTTTATCTTTTAATGGTTTACTCAATGGGGTTATCGTTGCTGTTTTCTAGCTTGTAGGAACTATTCCTTTTGGCCATAATTTATGGAATAATTCTAGAAGCAAATTACGTAATGACCCTGAGAGTTTTCTTAACATGCTAATTTTATTCGATCTTCACCAGCCGCCGAGTCAATTTTGCCACTTAAACCTTTATGTATTTCCTCTATTTACAAGGGTAAGTTAATTGCTTTATGTTCATCTGATGAGTAACGCGATGGTTTATTCCAATGAAATCCCGATTTTCGTTTTAAGAATTTGTCACAGTGATTTTTATCGCTACTGCCATCAGCAAACGTTTTTGCTAACATCCCCGCCTTTTTGCTATTTGTTATGGCTGATTGGGATTCATAATTTTAAGCGTAGGAATATTTCTAGGAAAACATTTGCCGCTTATTGCGTGTATTATCTGTCCAGGCATTTAAAATTTTAGTTTTATCATTAGTACTATCACAGAATGCCATCCAGTTCTTTTCTTTTGCCTATGAAATGACCTGTCTGGCGTTTGCATCGCTCTGCGGACCATACGCGGAATAGGTTTTTAAGTTATTTTTCCTTGCATTGACATTCTTGGGACCACCAAGGTTTTGGGGCGCCTTTAGTTTTCACACCTGTTATGGGATTGAGGCTTCTGCTACACTAAAGACCGCACGCGATATATTCTCGGTAAATATATTTATATCATCGTGTCTAACTGCGCCTGAGTCGATTTCTGCACAGTAGTGTTGAAAAAGAGCCCAGCCTACGTGTTCAAGTTTCCATCTTTGTTTGTACGTGACTGGTTCTTTATTTACGTTTTAGTTTATTTCAGTTAAGACTATTAGATGATCACTACCTAGCGTTTTATTCATGACTTGCCACTTACAGTTTAAAGCTATACCGGGAGATGTTAATGTACGATCAAGGTGGCACCCAGTTTGTTGCCAGAACCGATATATGTTGGGCCACCGTTATTTAGTAGAACTAAATTGGAATTTTCAATAAAATTATTCAGTTGATCTCCAGCATTATTATTAAGAGGGGAGTCCCAAGTGGAGTGGCGGCTGTTAAAATCTCCACATATAATATCTTTAGTTTTTATTTGATCATATATTTTTTGATACGCTTCTTCCTCGGTGATTTTATACGGATTATATATGTTAACTACGGTTATATTTCGTTTGTCGGTTGTAGCTAATTCTAATCCAATTACCTCTACTTCACCAGAGTCTATTCTAATAAACTTAAGGACAGTGTCTAGTCCCGTGTTTTTATACATAACGAAATGAAATGAAACGGGGTTTAACCATGGACCTTATAATAAGGTCCATGGTTTAACTAAGCACAGTATATACCTCCATGTAAACAAACCTATTTGTTTAATAAACTACTTGTGAAAGCTGCTCATGCAATAGAGGTATATACTTTGATTAGTTATATATAAAGTAGGACATTAAACCCCATTTCATTTCGTTATATATAAAACAATAATAAAAGATCAAACAAGTATTATAGAAGTAGAATGAAGCCATAAGCAGTTGATCTTAGCAGTAAAACGTGAGATAGAAATATAATTGTGTTGGCTTCTGATATGGTGATTACTTATATATACATTTGGACCGCCTGTGTTAACTTTATTATGACAAAGGGAGAAGATGACCCGCCCTCTCTTCTCACGACAGCGAATTTATAAGTGTGCTTTAAGAAACTTTGGTATCCGAGGACATTTTTATTTTGTGTTTTTAACAATTTTCAAGTGAAAATAATTTAATTAAATCAACCTATCCATAATATCATATTCATTGTATTGGACGTTAAATCTGTAATAAACAACAACAACATGTTTTTTTTATTAAACTGAATTGTTTTGGAAAGATATATTACTATGATGATGCGGTCATACGCTCTTGAAATGTAAACTCATTCATAAATTCTTCTTTCTTTTGTTGTGGCCGTTACTGTTAATTTTGTTTAACGTTTGTACAGTTCACTCGGTGGCGCAGGTTGTCACTTAGATGTTCAGCAATGGTAGACTGGTCGGTGGGTGCTTTCGAGAGCTTCTCATGGCCCCTATCCTTGAATCCTATGGCTAGTTCAAACTGCTATTTTGTTCATATATAATTATTCCTGTTTTTTGATTTATGATCAATCAATACATTTAACATTTTGCCGCTTTCTACTACATTAACATCTTTCGCAACGCAGTTTTAACATATCAAATTTCGCACTGGCAGTTTCTACATAGCATCTTTCGCGTAGTAGTAACTTTGATATGCAAATGATGGATGTCACGTGATAACGAAAACGACCAATAACCCTAACATCCAATAATATTCTATTTAGCCAGCAGGCGATACGAATTTCTCAGAGCAGCAGACAATAATAATTTCGGTCATTGAACATATTTGGTGCACCCAAAATAACCTGTCTTTGGCCCCCTGGGTGACAATTTCTGTATTCGAAGAATTGTTATATGAGATTATGGGAAAATATCAATTTGAAACCCTTTCATATGCAGTGCACATAAACTGCTAATTGGAAAAACAAAAATCGAGAGATAAACGTTGTACATAACTTTTTTATATTAAAATTCAGTCGAATAATTTCCTTTAATGTAACTCAAATATATTGCAGAGTCGGTGTTTTAACAGAAATAATAACCAGCGATATTACAACGCCCTTAATGGTTTGGTAGAATATGACACCCAGACAAATCTAGCCCTTAGTCAGATACCAGAGTTTCAACAAGCCTTCAAATGTAAAGCTGGTTCCAAGATGGTGGCAGCAAGTAAATGTGCTTATTATTAAAGTTAATTAAAGGCACATTTCATATTATTTATGCATGTAAAATTTTGTATTAAGCATAAGGCTAAATGTTTATTCATTCAGATCGACACATCTATTTATATATAAACATAATATATAAAATAGACCTCTATAAATCTTATAAATACCATTTTCACTTAAAATCTCAGAATAAAACATAACCACTTTTTTATGTATGGCGGTTGACAAATTTTGTGATTATGTATTGTCTTAAACTCTACGTGTAACGTTTATTCTGGTATGTTGGAGCCATAATGATATTTGTGAATTTAATAATATCGATTTTTGCTATATACATTTATATATACTAACCTGTTGTAAAAATAAAACACACTTATATGGATATACTACTTCTGAGTTTATTAACATGCTACGTTTCGATACACATACAGATATCGTTTTCAAGCAAATAATGATAATCAACAATAAATGTGGTACAATATATAGGTAACAAGTGGAAACCATTTAACAGAATAATCAATACTATCAACAACGCATTATCAAGATCAAAGAAGTTATATAAATTAACATGATGACGGAATAATACTAATAAGCCACCAAATAAAAAGAATTTTAACAGAGCAAATCGGTGCAGAGGTAGTGTTCAGTAGCGGAACCACACTTAAAACTATGTTAAAAGCTGATGGTAGAATACTAAAACCAAAAGAGGACCCAAAGGGAGTCATATACAAAATAAATTGTGAGTGTAATGTGGCCTATGTGGGCGAAACATCCCGTCCAATTTCAATCAGAACTAAAGAGCATCAGACAGCAGTTAAAAAACAAGAACAAAACAAATCAGCGCTAGCAGAACATATCCACCAAAACCCACAGCACCAAATCAAATGGGAAAGTACAGAAATACTAGCTAGAAACCTATCAACATGGAAAAGCAGAGTTCTTCGCGAGGCTTTGGAAATTCAAAAACATAAGCCAAAATTAAACAGAGACTCAGGACATTTCCTCCCAAATCTTTGGGTTGATTTATTTAATTCTTAATCAGTGTGTGTTAGTGATGAGAAGTGTCTGTGGTCATAAGTGTATGACCCCCCCCCCCTTTATTTCATCTTGTAGTTAAGGTCTCACTTGTGATGATTGTTTCTATCTCTGACTTTCATCTCATCTTATAGTTATGGTTTCATATAGTTAATTAGCGTCTTGATGTTACGGTTTCATGTAGTCAATTATCCTCTAATTTCTTCCTTTGGTATTATTAGTAGTCAATTATCCTCTAATCTCTTCCTTTTGTATTATTAGTGTTATTCCGTCATCATGTTAATTTATATAACTTCTTTGATCTTGATAATGCGTTGTTGATAGTATTGATTATTCTGTTAAATGGTTTCCACTTGTTACCTATATATTGTACCACATTTATTGTTGATTATCATTATTTGCTTGAAAACGATATCTGTATGTGTATCGAAACGTAGCATGTTAATAAACTCAGAAGTAGTATATCCATATAAGTGTGTTTTATTTTTAGTGAAATCTATTTCTATATGTCTTATAAGGATTAACCTGTTGTAGTACATTGATATTAAAATTCGATATTGTTTGAATAAAACTGAAATCAAATTTCAAACAAACTAAGCATACACAAATGTAAATCAAAGTCAAATCCGGATTTAAATGCACAACTCAATTACACTCCAAATGATCGCTCTAAAGCCGTATACCATTCACGAAGCTGGATATAGGTACTCTTTCTTACACACCAGGTATCACTTCTCATTTGCGGAGTTCACGTATAGACCAGGAGCCCAGCTTCTCCTATATGGTATCAATGCGTGTATATCTGGTATCATCAAAATGTAAGTCTGCCGGGTTTCTGGTGGTGGTTGTGGTATTCCACGCCCAAAATGCAATGCCCCCCCCCCCCCAACTATGCTAGATTAGCTCAAAAGTGTACCACATGAAAATCGTACAGCAGTGTACCGTACATCTTCAGGTATTAAAAAAACACTCTGACAGACATTTCTAGTGGTGGGCTACCGCTGACAGAGCTTTGTAGTTGCAAGACATCTGTAGTTGTGGAGTATCCCTGACAAGATTTATCTAATTTCCAGACCACAGTTAGGCTATATTAGCTGAAATCTGTACCACCTAAAACAGCTTTGGAGTTGTTCAGTACCACAACGGGAATCATGAATGACCACTGCCAGACAATTTGTGCGGTGGGTAACCCCTAAAAGACACGCACAAAAATGCCACGCACCCAACTAGGCAAGATTAGCGGGCACTGTTCCCGTGTTTTAAAAAATTAAAATTTTAGCCAGGATGCGTAGAATACTATTACCTATCAAGTATGGAAGAGGCGATAAACTGCGGTTGCGGGAACCATTTTGTTTTTCAAAAACGCATTTTTAGCCCCATAAAACGTTTTTTGCCCAAAAATCAATTTCTTGCAATCGCAGTTTATCGCCTCTTCCATACGTGCTAGATAATAGGGTGTGGCAGTTTTGGGCGTCTCTTTTAGGGGTTACCCACCGCACAAATTGTCTGGCAGTGGTCATTCAATGTATACATGCATTGATATCATATAGGAGAAAATTGGTACACTTTTCAGCTGGGTTAACCCCCTGGGCTCCCGCTCTAGTAGCTTGTACATTTGTAATTGCACCTCATGCTTTTAGTGGATATGTTCACCAGTTTTATGGAAGCATTGATTTAATTAATAAAAATCAATATTATATTTTTAAAAATGTATCGTATTTTGTTTTATTTTATATTCATTTAATAAACATTTTTAGAATCTCTTCCGCAGACCAACGGAACACCGCGAAGTTAGAACCACAATCTTATAACGTTTGATTTTCTATCACTCCCGTTATTCATCGTGGTAAAAACAAACAAAAATTAAACATCATATTACCGTCATGGTATCTGAAAATAAAATAACGGTTGATTTTCTATCACTCCCGTTATTCATCATGGTAAACACAAAAATTAAGCATCATATTACCGTCATGGTATCTGAAAATAGAATAAATTACAGCGCCTTTTAGTCATCTGAAATGATGGCCTTACAATTAGTTCAAGAATGTAGCACTAAAGGAAATAAAAAAGACAAATGTTTTATTGTCATTTCGTATTCATGGACTTCGAATTTGATTGCCAATTGCCATATTTAGACATGCTGATCCTTTATGACCGTAAAAAATCAAATGAATAATATTATGTTACACTTGTCCGAAATATCTGACTTCTATTGGACTATATTGATAGAGTTATGCCACTGATTTCTGCCAGGGGAGAGCTGTGGGTTTTGGATTTGTTTGACAGAGATGGGTTTAACGTCCACTCGACACAAACTAGGTAATTTCGGGACAAATGGTTCAATTTTATCTCAATAATTTGCTTGGGCGTAGGTGTCTTTAGCAGAGGGAGGAAACCGGGGGACCCGGAGAAAATCCACGAGGTTGGAGATATTTGCAGAGAATGTTGTTAAATAGTGTCATTATCCAAAAGTGATCTAAAATAGTCCGAAATACCGGATCGACCCTTCCGCTGCAGCTTTATGACAGGAATTTTCCCTGTTTATTTGGGTAATATCTAAGAATTGCAACCATTTACCTATTCAGAATTACTTCACCCCACTGGTACCTTAGATTATGTTCTCGTTCCTCTTTTTTTTATTACCCCAATAATATAGCCCGGTTTTATAAGCTGATCCACTTTGTTGTCGTCAGATGTAAAGTCATCGCATCTTATTAAGGAACACTCAAACTATTAATACCTACATCTGAATACCCACGAATATAGTGCAAAGGTTTTTCAAGTCTATCGCCCCCTTTCCCTTTTCTCCCTTTTGCATGTCAATTTTTAATTTTTGTTTGAATGTACATTTTTTGCCAGGTTTCAGTGAATATTCATGATCTTGTGGCGGAAGGTTAACAAACTTAAAGATAAAGTACTAAAAGAGCTGACAGTTCTCGCTATAATAGTTAAATTAACAAATTTAAATAACGTAAAGAGAATATTCTGAAAATTTTAGTCAAATTAGCGATTGAATTTTAGGCCTAGTCTCGATCATCATTACTAAAGTCGGTACGATAAAAAACAAAGTCTCGATTATTCAATTTGAAGTTAAATCATCCATCAAAAGTGTATTCAAATCCAGTAAACATCGCAGGCTAAGTTAATTTAGATAACATTTCAGGCCTAAAGAAAGACCTGCAATAGGCAGATAATTACCTCTGACATAATGTGTGTTTAAGAGATTGGTTATGTTTAAATATAGAGTGGGGAGTGGTAAAATCATAGAAGTAATATAAATAGACTAGAATGACCGCGGCCAATCAAAAGACGCTATCGCGAAATGGCAGATCTCGGCCATGATCCTGCGTAACAAAATGGCGTCGTCTGGTTATGCGAATGACAATAAAACTTTTACGTGTTCAGTATCCACCAAAGGGACAAAATGTTTTGCCATTAAAGGTACAACTTATCAAATCGCCACATCAAAATTAAATGGAATAGCCTTCCACAGGTAGGAAATTCAATAGTGATTATATAAGAACCCAGAATGTTCACGCGTCCGGCTTCCTGTGTTGTACTACTAGCACTCGGTAAACCTCGGTAGATTCCGTTACTCTACATCTAGCCTCGGCTGTATGACGGTAAGTGATATGTACCTACGCCTATACAATTACTTATTAGAAAAACTTGCCGCTTTTAAAAAGAAGTTATCAAAATTGCGTCGTTCGATGCGTATGTAAAATTTTCACTGCAAAGTTGTCCTTGTTCGACGTTCATTGATCGGCTGATCCAGTGTATCTACAGACGCTGCGCTGCTCTTATTGACACTCGTGGTGGACACACCTGATACTGATATATAGACTATGTACAGACTCTAAACCTTCTCGTAATGCCTTGGAATTGTGATGAATTAATCACTAATATGTCAACACACTGTTCACAAAAAATTGCTTTGATCCATTTAGTAAGTCGTTTTCTAGAATGATTTGATTAAAGTGCCTCTCTGATTTTGAAATTGTACTGACGTTTTTTGGGGGTTTTTTTGCTGTTTAGTATAGTACCAATGGCGGACTTCGTCATACAGCCGAGGCTATTGTAGTGTACTTGAATCTGCCAAGGTTTGCCGAGTGGTACTACTGGAAGTAGTGAAGTAGTAATAAGTTCATTTTTAGTATTATTATTATGCAACACTCACACTGACTGTTACTCCCATGTCTGTAAGTAAAATACTGCAAAAGCCTTATGGGTTTTTCACGTTTCAAGATGGTTGCACTTCCGGTTCAATCGGCAGACTTCATATTTTGTGTACACATCAGTCCTTTCTTAGCTAGTACAGAAAAAAAATTCAAGGCACTCTGACCTATATTTCGTCGATTTTTTTGAAAACGTTGATCCTTAATTTAATTAAGGG